CTGTGTGATTCTTAAGTATGCAATTTGTTGTTTTGTTTCTTATCCAAATTTGTTCATCTTAGATCCACATGCTTTCGGGATAAATTAACTGATTAAATTTTGAAATAGATGAGTCATTGAAATTAATTACCTGTTCATTAGGCAGTAATTGGAGGTATATTGGCCTGAGTTAGTACGTGCAGGTCGTTATATAGATATTGTATAAGGAGGTGCACGCATGTTTACCACGTCCTCAATCATATGTATTTGTTTATGTATTATAATTAACAGTGATTAATTTGAAACAAACAAACAGTACTAATTAAAACAAACATGTAGTGTAAATTGAAAATAAAAAAAAAGCTATCAGCGATATTCTGCATCGACTGGCGGTGAATCACTCACCGATGTAAACTAATGGCCGACGTCTTCAGGTTCCGTTAGCATTAAAAATAACGAGAATTTGTTAAGACGTTATAGTTAGGTTTAACTTGTAGAGAGTCACGTACATGTTAGTTTGAATTTGTTGGAAGAACAGATGGTTAAAATATTAAATTATTTTGTGGCGTTTTGCTCGAACATCGAAAGGATAAAAAAGGCGCAGACTGTGAATGAGACAGATTTACAAGATGATTGTCCTTGGGGCTGTTGCGCCGCGTTGTCTGGCAGAAGTTCACTGATGTTTTGTAGATGCTTGCTGTCTCCATCATCCAGGACATCTCCCTGATGATGAAGGCGGCAAGCACTTCTGAAACGTCGGTAAACTTCTACCAGACTGTACGGCGCTATATCGCAGAAGACAGTCATCTTCATATTCGTCACCCTGAGAACTTGAAATCTTACCTTTCGACTTTATTACCCATAGTCTGAAATCGTATTGATGAACTGTTGCTCCAGTTTTTTCTTTTATGATTGTGTTTGCGGTAAAGAAGTTGCCTATGATCATAGACTTGGCGACGGCATGAATAGCATAATAAAGTATTGCGGTGTGTAGCCTCAGGGTCTTCTGAATCATAGAACACTAGAGGGTCTCCTTTCTATGGTATAAGGAATGAACATCTTGAAAGTTTGTTTGTTTTATACAATACTCTGCCTTGCCAAATGCACACCCCCTAAATAATGTTGGACGTAATCGGTCGGAATCTACAATCATTCTCCTTCCTGTTTCCGTCCCCGCTGCTGGCGATTGGTTGGATTGCAGGTTTGCGCAGTGAGGCCATATTGCCTTCCCAGTTGAAGTCGGGGAACTGGGGCAGGAGCTCCTTATTCGTGGGTTTGTTTCGGCAGCCTGCCTGCGTCTCTTGGTTTCCTACCAGCCACCGCTTGGGGTATCAGGATTCTTTTTACTTTGTTCATGCGAGAGGAAAAATGAAATGGAGTTGACTACAAACAGAAGGCAAGCTTGCTGACTGGGGACCGTTGCAAAGTAAATTAAATACAGAAGTACAAGAACTAGAAACAAGAATTCATTAAAAAACGAGACCAAGAAAATAAATTGGGTTTGTTAATATGATGAATAAAAGGAGGGAACACAAATACAAAACAGAAACGACAACTGAGAATTCCGATCCTAATTAAAACTAGTTTCGATTTGTCGAATGCAGGCAGTGATGAGCAAGCCTGTAGTCTCACGGAGGCTAATAGGACTGTATCGAGTTCCTCGCTTGTTTCCACATAGCAGATTACGTTTGATGAGGCAGGTGATAGTGTAACTTATCTCCCTACACAGTCTCGATGCTATTCCTTGTACTATTAGGAGACGGTGAGAGAGCTCTTGACATTTCTGTTCAGTCTTAATTGGGCTGTATTACAGTGGACTTGCGTCGGTACTCGTGTTCCCTAAATATACATCAATGTCTCCTTCCTATTTTTAACTATGTCTGTCTGAACATGTTTGAATTTACTAAGTGTTACTCTCGTTTTTTATCAAAATCGTCATTATCGTGTCAATTTAATGGAAAAGGAATGGTCACAGCAGGTAAGAAAGCACTGGAAACAAGGAATGTAATTCATTAGGATATTTGACTGCTTTAAACTATTTTAGTTATTTACAACTCTTCATTATGAATGTTAGTATGATTCTTATCTTTTGTGTAAAATTAACGTACAGGAAAAATATGTGGGATCTTAGGACAATGGAAACATAAAACTATGATAATGAATATGAGAACGAATTTGTAATTTAATGATTTAAAATAATCTATACAGAATATTTTATATATATATATATATAT